GACACTTTGGCACTCTACTGAGGGTGACATAGTGAGACTCTGTCCCAAGGGAAAAAATCCTAAGCAGTGGGTTAGCTGTTGAAATAGCTTTATGATAATCATTATTTATATGTTATAAGTCTCCCTGAATGTCTGCCTACTAAAATGTCAACATTAGATGTCTTATGAACATATTGCAGTAATCCATAAAACTTCCCAAGTTTTCAAGTTTTGCCCTTTCTAGAGAAAACTGATGAAATTCAGTGCCAAACCTCTTCCTTGTAATACCCCAGCAGCTGCTACCCACATGACTCTCTACACAGTTGACTGGGCTAAACAGTTGTATGCACTTGTACATTTAAACCCTCACAACATATCATGATCCTAAAATCTTCCAAACCTCTTTATATAAATATATACCATTCCTTGCTGGTCCTTTTTGTGCCATTGTTAGCTTCCCAGTGCCGTTTTCTCCACCAAGATTCCTGATGTCTCATGTTCCCTTATGCCCAAGCTTTCTTTACATCTATTCTCTTTCTGTGCCTTCTGCCTTTCTGCTTACCCAATACAAAGCCTAAATTTGCTTTCATAGAGAAGCCTTAAATTACCTCGGCATACTTTATTGCACTCACATTTTTTTCACATCTAAAACCTTTCGTTACCTCCAATATTCCTATCGTATTTTCTTCTATGTTCATAATTCTTGTCCTCCAAATATACTTAGTTTCTACAATGTCATTTCCCTCACCTTCCTTTCACTTAGATCCTATTTTTTTTTTTTTACCCTTTCCCATCCACCCCTTTGTGTTTGGCACTTTCTTCCAACCCCAACCCCCAAATTTGTGTCTTAGTTATCTTTCTCCCTTTTGGTCTTTTTTTTTTTTTTTTTTTGTGGGACAGTCTCACTTTGTCACCCTGGGTAGAGTGCCACATGAGTGCATGTCATAGCTCACAGCAACCTCAGACTCTTGGGCTCAACTGATCCTCTTACAGCTGGGACTACAGGTGCCTGCCACAGTGCCTGGCTAATTTTTCTATTTTTAGTAGAGATGGGATCTATTAGTTGCTCAGGCTGGTCTTGAACTCCTGAGCTCAAGAAATCTACCATCTTGGCCTCCCAGAGTACTAGGATACAGCTGTGAGCCACCATGCTCAGCCACTCTCTTTCACTCCTAACCTCTGATAATCCTGTTTTTCCACCCTGTTTTTCAAAAGCTGACACTCTGATAATGCATTTGTAGTGTTCAGTTGAATAGATATCTGCTTTTCTAAACAGTGAAATCTGAACTATTAGCATGCAGTTAACCTCTGGGAAGATGAGGTCTCCACTTGAAAGCTTCAAATAGAGGTTCTTCTGGTCATGTTGAATGATGAGATTTTATCTAATATTGTCTAAAGTGGGATAACTACCTGAACCACACAAAGTAATCACCACTGTAAAATGAGAACATGTCTTTGATTTTATACTTCTATTTTGATAGACCTGAGAAGTAAAACTCATCACCTCAGAGAAGGTAATTCTCATGTGTTTTGGATTATATTGATCATTAATTCTTCAGGATAATTTTATAGACTTGGAAATGTTTGATCCAGTCTCCTATTTCATGTTAAAGTCCCCTCCAGTATGAGAGAAACAATAACTTGTCATCTACAAGGCAACAAATCTATTTTGTATTCCTATTTATTGGTTGTTGTAAAATTCATCCTTGCGTTGAGTTTAAATCTACTGATTATAATTATATTTAGTTACTTTAATTCTGTCCTCAAACTTTTCTACGTGATAACCCTGGGTCCCTTTTAATTCTGTCCTCAAACTTTTCTACGTGATAACCCTGGGTCCCTTTT